TTGACAAGTCAGAAAAGAGTGGGTTCCTACTTTTCAATCTTCTAAAACAAAACAGTCTAGGAATCAGTATCCTACAAAACAAAATTTCATATTTGATAGAGAAACCAAATCTTTTACTGACAACCAAACATTGAAGAAATCTGCCACTACTATACACAGACCAATACAATAGATCCCTAACAAATTAAGACACCTATAAACTAAATAAAGCTTAGCTATCAGAATGGCCCATGTGATAAAAGAAGGCAACAGAGACCCACACAATAAAAAGAAGAGAACCCCACTCAGCCTATCAATTCTCTCAATAAATGTGAATGGATAGAATTCTCCACTGAAGAGACACAATATGAGAGATGGAATAAAAAAAAAGAAAGCAAAGTACATTCTCCTTTCAGGAAACACATCTAACCTTGAGAGACAAATCAAGACTCAGGGTGAAGGGGTGGAAAACAATATTTCATGCAAATGGAAACCAGGAGAAGGTCGGAGTTACAATTCTTACAGCAGATACAACTGACTTTACAGCAAAAAAGTTAAAGAGAAAGATAGACACTACGTATTAATCAAGGGAAAAATCCAAGAAAAATGACATTTCAATCCTAAATATTTAGTCACCTAATTTAAACACTCCCAGATTTATAAAGCAAACCTTACTTGGTCTAAACAATATGATAAACAACACCACTGTTTGTGGTGGACATCAGCACCCCATCAGCCATGGACATCAACACCCTACTGACAGAACTGGAAAGATTCTCCAAGCAGAAACTAAACAAAGAAATGATGGACTTAAATACAGCTCTGGAACAAATGGGCTTAACAGAACATTTCACCTCAATATTGCTAAAAATATGTTCTTCTCATCAGCTCATGGATCATTCTCATGATCACATCCTAGATCACAAAGTCTCAACAAATTAAAAAAAAATAGAAATTATATCTTGTATGTTTATAAACCACAATAGAATTAAAGTAGACCTCAATTCCAACAGAAATATTCATCCCCATACAAAGTCATGGAAACTAAACAACATGTACCTGAATGATAGCTGGGTAAAGGAGGAAATAAAGAAGGACATCATTAGATTCCTTGAACAAAATAACAATGAGGCCACAAGCTAACAAAACCTGTGGAATAACGCAAAAAAAGTCCTAAAAGGGAAATTCATCACATTAAACACCCATATCCAGAAATCAGAAAGAGTTCAAATCAATAATCCAATAAAACATTTCAAAGAAGTGAAAAAGGAAGAACAATCTCAAATCAGCAGAAGAAAAGAAATAACCAAGATTAGATCAGAGCTAAATGAAATCAAGAACAAAAGAACCATTCAGAAGATAAAGGAAATAAAAAATTGGTTCTCTGAAAAGATAAACAAAATTGATAAACACTTGACCAGATTAATCAGAAACAGGAAAGTAAGATCTCTAATAAGCTCCATCAGAAACAAAGAAGGGGAAATATGACCAGAGAAATACCGAATATCATCACTGAATACTATAAAAATGTCTGTGCTCAGAAATTTGAAAATGTGGAGGAAATGGACCAATTCCTAGAATCATAGTATCCCTAGACTTTTATTTTATTTTATTGAGACAGAGTCTCACTTTGTTGCCCTCGGTAGAGTGCCATGGTGTCACAGCTCACAGCAACTTTAAACTCTTAGGCACAGTGATTCTCCTGCCTCAACCTCCTGAGTAGCTGGGACTACAGGTGCCTGCCACAATGCCCAGCTTTTTTTTTTTTTGGGAGACAGGGTCTTGCTCTGGCTCAGGAGATCCACCTGCCTTGGCCTCCCAGAATGCTGGGAATACAGGCGTGAGCCACCACGCCTGTCCTACTATCCCTAGACTTAATTAGAAATAGAACTCTTGTACAGACCAACATCAAGCACCAAAACTGAAATAAAAATAAAAAAGATCAAAAAAAGGTCCCAGACCTGAGAGTTTTACACCAGAATTTTACTAAACCTTGTACCTATATTGCAGAATATATTCTAAAACATTTAGAAGGAAGGAACCTTCCCTCACTCCTTCTATGAAGCAAATATCATCCTGATACCCAAACCAGGAAAGGACACAACAAAAAAGAAAACTATAGACTAATATCACTAATGAATATTGATGTACAGATACTCAATAAAATCTTAGCAAACAGAATTCAGCTATACAGCAAAAAATGAATACATTATGACCAGGGAGGCATCACCTCAGGAATACGCAGCTGGTTCAAAATACACAAATCTGCATATGTAATTCACTTCATAAACAGAAGTAAAAACAAAGATCATATAATACTCTCAATAGACACAGAAAAAGCAATTGACAAAATTCATCATCTCTTTTAATAACACTTAAGAAAACTGGCAACAGAGAAGGCCAAACTGTCACTCATGGCTGATGATATGCTTTTATACTTAGAAAACCCCAAGGACTCAATTGTGAAAGTCCTGGAATTGAGCAATATCTCAGGATATAAAAATCCATCAGTAGCCTTCATATATGCTAACAACAGCCAAGCTGTGAATTATCAAAGATACAATATCCTTCACAGTAGCTAGCATCAAAGAAAATGAAATACCTCAGAATATATTTAACAAAGGATGTTAAAGATCTTTATAGAGAGAATGATAAAACACTGAGAAATCAAAGAGAATGTTAACAGATGGAAGAACATATTGGGCTTGTGGCTTGGGAAGAATCAACATTGTTAAAATGTCTACCCAAAGCAATCTATAGATTTAATGTGATCCTTATTAAAATACCAAGGTCAGACTTTAAAGAGCTTGAAAACATAGTTCTACGTTTTGCACTGAACCAGACAGAAAAAACCTGAATAGCCAACACAATTATACAAAAAAAAAAAAAAAAAGAAAAAAATCTAGAGTTACCAGACTTCAGGCTATGCTACAAGTCTATAGTGATCAAAACAACACAGTATTGGCATAAAAATAGAGACATAGATCTATGGAACAGAACAGAGAATCTGGAGATGAAACCAGCTTCATATTGCCATCTGATTTTTGATAAATCAAACAAAAGCTAACACTGGGGAAAAGACTCCCTATTCAATAAATGGTGCTGAGAGAACTAGTTAGGCACATGTAAAAAGACTAAAACTAGACACCACTCACCACTTATACAAACTAACTCACAATGGATAAAACATTTAAATCTAAAACACAAACTTATAAAAACCCAGGAAGAAAGTGTGAGGAAAACTCTTAATTTTACTGGCCTACAAAAAGAATTTATGAAGACCCCACTGGCAACTGCAGCAACAAGAAAAAGAAATAAATAGAATCTGATCAACCTAAAAAGCTTCTGCACAGCTAAGAACATAATCAACAAAGCAAAGAGATAACCTACAGAATGGAAGATATTTGCATGCTACAAATCCAGTAAAGGACTAATAACCAGAATCTACAAAGAACTCAAGCAAATCAATAAGACATCAAATGACTCCATTAAAAAGGAGGCAAGAGACATGAACTTTTCTCATGAAAACAGATTAATGGCCAACAAACACATGAAAAAAAATGTTCATCATCCCTAATCATCAAAGAAAAGCAAATCAAAACCACCTGGAGATATCACCTAACTCCTATGAGAATGGCCCACATCAAAAGTTCCCAAAGCAACAGATGCTGGTGTGGATGTGGAAAGAAGGGAACACTCATGTGCTATTGGTGGGACTGCAAGCTAGTACTGCCACTGTGGAAGGAAGTATGACTATTCCTCAATGACCTATAGGGACCCCTACCCTTAGGTCCTATAATCCCATTACTAAGTATCTATCCAAAAGAAAAAAGGCATTTTACCATAAGGACATTTGCACTTGAATGTTTATGGCAGCACAATTCACACCTGCAAAGACGGAGTTGGAAACAACCCACGTGCCCTTCAACACATGAATACCGTTCAGTCATGAAAAAGTTGGAGATTTCATATCTTTTGTGACAACCTGGATATATATGAAGAAAATTCTCCTAAGCAAATTATCACATGAATGGAAAGACAAGGATCAGTAGTAACCTGGAACCAGTAGATTAAAAACTACACATTCTCATAAGAGAACAACTCGATTAAATTCAAGTAGCAGGGAGGGGTGAAAGGGTTGAGTAAATTTCCACCCAATGGGTACAATGCATGGATACACTGCACACTTCCTAGGTGAAGGACACAACTACAACCCAGACTTTAACCTTACAAAAGCAAACTATATAGCCTAATTATATGTGCCTCTCATATTAATCTAATTTTTTTTTAAAAGCCCATAGAACTCAAATGTCCCACAGCAGAGAGCAAACAGATTCCTAGAGGGGAAGCTTTAGGAGTGTGTCCACCTGAGCAAGGGAGACATTGGATTCAGTCAGGTTTACAAAAAACCATTAAAGAAATAAAAAAGAAAGCATTTGCGAAGGGAGAACTATTAATGTGATTCTTGTGTTAACTGTTGGCTTTTTTTTTTAAATCATGATTACCAACTACATGATGTGTTAGATTTTGGGTCTGTCTATGGGATGAAGAACAAGTAGAGTCTTCCTCCATCACCATTACCCAGGGACTGAAAGTTTCAAATAGGCCACAGGTGATGGTGTGTAACTGTGTTTCAAACAACTTACCTCAGACCTAAAAACAGATGCCTGGGTAGTGACTGTATTAAACAAATTTATGACAATACTTAACTTTATGACACCAGTACACATCTGTGTCTGGCCTAAACTATGCATTCAGTAAATGTCTACTGACTAACAACAACAACAACAACAAAATATATATATATACACATATATAGTATTAACATGTCATGTTAATATATATCTATTTTTATTAAAATGATTTTCAATTGTTTTCTATGGAGTGAAGTTAGCAATTTGGGGAAATAATACATCATACTTTTTCTAAAGCTTCAGGTATCCTTGGGAGTAGAAACTCCTAATTGAGAAACACAGCATTATAAATACATACCATCTGAACATTTCCTTGTGTATTCTTACCTCCAAAGTAGGTGGAATCTTTCTTGTTTTTCTAATCCAAGCTAGAAAAAATAATAATATTTGTTTCAGTATTCCATGATTTGCACATTTTAACCATTCATGCATAAAACAAATATTTTTGAGCACTTACTCTATATCATTTTAGGTACTGGAGATAGAGCAGGGAATCAAAGGGAATCAAACAGATGAAGTCCATCTACTATAGCATGTATAATACTGAATGGATTACAGAAAATAAACACACAAACCTATGCATGGTGGTAATGTGTTATGAAAAAATATAGTATAGAGAAGATAAAAGGGGACTGTTTGATATATTTGCAATCAGACCTCCTAATTGTCTGTATTCAACTTAGTGTATTTTCAGCATACAGACCAAACCTAAACACTGTAAGCTTTGAGGCAATATCAAAATTACATAATTCTGAAAATTTGAATTACTTTTCAGTTTATAAAGGAAGGGACTTAGAAAAGTTTTAATTTACAAGCATCACTCTTTTGATCTGTTTCAGCAAGTAGATACTCCCCGTGGTTGGCAAGTATAATCAGACCTGCCTTGGCGCCTATAGCTCAAGCAGCTAAGGCGCCCGCCACATACACCAGAGCTGGCAGGTTTGAATCCAGCTCGGGCCTGCCAAACAACAGTGATGGCTGCAACCAAAAAATAGCTGGGCGTTGTGGCAGGCGCCTGTAGTCCAGCTACTTGGGAGGTGGAGGCAGGAGAAACGCTTGTGCCCAGGAGTTGGAGGTTGCTGTGAGCTGTGATGCCATAGCATTCTACCTAGGGCGACAGCTTGAGGCTGTCTCCAAAAAAAAAAAAAGTATCATCAGACCTCAGCTCTAACACTTGGGAGATAAGCTGAGGGAGAGTCCACATCTTTTATGTGCCTTTAGGCACAGGGAACTGTGCTAGGTGCTTTCCCCATAGTAGCAATGGGAAGGGAGAGTTGCCTCTGAGGAAATTACCGGAAACACATGAAAGACAGTATAGTCTAGTGCTTATGTGAGTAGGTTCTAAAGTCAGATATTCAGGGTTCAAACCCCAGTTTCATTACTTCTTTCCCCATAGTAGCAATGGGAAGGGAGAGTTGCCTCTGAGGAAATTACTGGAAACACATGAAAGACAGTATAGTCTAGTGCTTATGTGAGTAGGTTCTAAAGTCAGATATTCAGGGTTCAAACTCCAATTTCATCACTTATTTGCTATGCCATTTGAAGCAAGTTATTTAATTTTCTAAGCATCAGACTTCCTATCTACAAAATGGAAAATTATAATAGATCTACCCTTTGAGGTTGTAAAAATTATGAAATAATACATCTAAATACTTAGCTCAGAGGCTGGTATAAAGTAAGAATGTATGTTTAAATTATTAATGTTATCATCACTATTACTTAATAAACATAGAGTTTTATTAAAAGACTCACAGAAACAAAGACTACTAGTATTTGTTTAGCCTGTAGGATGTATAGTGACTACGAGAAAATACATTATAGGGAACATGGTCTTTAAAAAGTAGAAAACCGGGTGGTGGGAGGGTGACTGGAAAGATCACCTATATTTCTGTCTAACAAGGGTACAAGTGAACTTTTCTAGAACTAGAATATAAATGTTTTGACACAATGAATATGCAAATGACATGAAATTTATGTGAACCAGCTTGATGAAAGTATTTCAAAATGTATATGAAAACACTACACTGTACCTCATGTTTGCATTAATATATACAGCTATCATTTAATTTAAAAAAAAACAAACAAAAAAAAGTAGAAAACCATTGTTCTACCACTTTGTAGGTTTGTTCTACCATTGTTCACCCTTTTTTAGTTGATTCAATATTGGCATTACAAAATTGTGAGATACAACTTATTTTACAGAGAAATGGAATAATTTTCCTAATTTTATACATTAAGTAGTAAGAGTGGCATTTGAATTCAGATTCGACTTTGTTTCTGGCTCTAATCTATGCTCTATTAAGCAGTATTTCCAACATTAGTGAGCAACATGTAAAGAACACTAAACGAGGAAGAAGACAGGCAACCCTAACTACATGTCAGAAAATAAGAATTATTTATCCTGGCTTGGCACCTGTAGCTCAGCGGCTAGAGCGCCAGCTACATACACCGGAGCTGGTGTGTTCGGGCCTGCCAAAACAATGACAACTACAACCAAAAAATAGCCAGGCATTGTGGTGAGTGTCTGTAGTCTCAGCTGCTTGGGAGGCTGAGGCAAGAGAACCACTTCAGCCCAAGTTGGAGGTTGCTGTGAGCTGTGATGCTACATTACTCTACAGAGGGCGACATAGTGAGACTCAGTCTTAAAAAAAAGAAAAGAATTATTGATCCTATTTTACAGATTGGGAAACTGAGGCTCAGAAAAATTAAGCAACTTACTTAGGGCTATATAATAAATGAATAGCAGACTGGGAATCAAATCTGGTTGAAGTGGCTCTAAATCTGAGCTCTTTTTATTCATCAGCCACTCTCTCTTCTGACCAGCTTTTCCAGTCTGCCTTCCACCATCCAAGTACAGACAGGTTAGCAACTCAGTATGGTTTGACTCATAATTTTTCAACTTTATGATGGCGCAAAACCATTCTGTTTTCCACTTTTGGTACAGTATTCAATAAATAACATAAGGTATTTAACACTATACTATTAAATAGGCTCTGTGTGAGGTATGTTAGATGATTTTGTCCAAATGTAGGCTAATGTAAGTGTTCTGAGCACATTTAAAGTAGGCCAGGCTAACATGTGATGTTCAGTAGACTGGGTGTGTATGAAACATGTTTTCAACTTACAGGACATAACCTTATCATGTCCTGGGGATCGTCTGTAATAACTCCAGGACCAATACTCAAAAAGCTCAGCACTGAATAGCTGTGGGAGTAGAAATGGCAAAAATCAACTGTGGGCCTGGAATTAGTCATCTCCCTCCCTCTGCTCTGTTCTCTCTTGCACTGATCCCACACACATATCTCCAATATAATCCCAGAGTTCTGCACTCGCCTGTTCCTGAACTTCTGTTATTCTTTTCTGTATTCCCTTCCTCATTAGTTTTCATGCCTACTTGGCCTATTTTCCAGGGAAAACTTGCACAGATTTTATATTTCTTGTCAGGCTGTAGGTTGTGAAGGAAAGAGGCACAAGGTGATTTATTTTTGTATTACCTAACCACCTCAAAAGAGTAGGTACTTATTAAAATTGTTAAGTGACTTATTTCTATTGTAAAAATATTTGTTGTAATAGAATTTTCATTTGTATTAGAAAATCCAGTTTAAGAATACCAAAATACTTCTGTGCAGTCAAGGAAATAAGTGATTTATGAAATTTTTCAATTGCATCTTGATGGGCAAAATAAAAGTTACTAATTATATTTATGAGTTTTTCCTAGAAAAGAAGCTTCTTTGAGTTATATCTATGACAAATTGTAAACAATATATATTCAGTTTTAGTTAAGATCAGAAAGTTAATTTAAAAAAATTAAGTGTTGGCTCGGCGCCTATAGCTCAACCGGCTAAGGCGCCAGCCACGTACACCTAAGGTGGCGGGTTCGAATCCCCAGCCCGGACCCGCCAAACAACAATGACGGCTGCAACCAAAAAATAGCTGGGTGTTGTGGCGGGCGCCTGTGGTCCCAGCTACTTGGGAGGCGGAGGCAGAGGACTCGCTTGAGCCCAGGAGTTGGAGGTTGCTGTGAGCTGTAATGCCATGGCACTCTACCCAGGGGGAAAGCTTGAGGCTCTGTCAAAAAAAAAAAAAAAAAATTAAGTGTTCAGACAAGTGTCAGTAAACTATGGCCTAAATAAGCCAAATTCTGCTCACCACTTATATTTTTCAAAGGTTGGAAAAAACATAAAAAAAAATCAATATTTCATGACACATGAAAAATTATATAGAATTCAAAATTTCAGTGTTATAAATAAGGTTTATTGGAACCCAGCCACACTCCTTTGTTTACACATCATCTAGGGTGGCTTTTGTGCTATAACAGCAGAGCTGAGTAGTTGTAATAGCCCAAGTGGCCCAAATAGCCTGAAATATTGGCCCTTTAAAGAAAAAGTTTGCCAACTTCTGTTCCAGGTCTACCATTACATATAATCCTTTTAAGTAGTGACTATATACATATATCTTGGTGCTAAACACTTTCTTATTATCTAAAATAAAAATTATTAAATACTTTTAAATAATGATTTCCATGTATTCCAGAGTCTATGAACACATACCAATGGGCATATACTCATGCTGAGATAGCATAACAGCATAATGCATAATTATGAACATAAAAAAAAAACCCTTGAAGAAATGATTTGTTCTTAGTCTATAAGACTGCATTTTCAGTTCTCTTATAAGGTTGAAGAAAGAAAAATAATAGAATCCAAATTATTAAAAAAGTTCAAGGCAGGTAAGTTAGGGAAATTCTAATACATGTTTTCTAAAGCTTATTGGTTTTGTATAAGCTTATAGAATTCATATGTAATAGCACTCAGACACTAAATGTATCAAATATCACCTAGTCTATTTACTTTCATGGGTCACTATTCTGCAAAGCTGAGGTCTCTAACCCCTGGGCTGTGGACTACTACCAGACTGTCACCTGTTGGGAACCTGCCCACATGGCAGGAAGTGAGTGGCAAGTGAGTGAGCAAAGCTACATCTGTATTTACAGTCAATCCCCAATGCTCACATCACTGCCTGCGCTCCTTCTCCTCCTGTCAGACCAGTCACAGCATTAGATCCTCATAGGAGCCCAAGCCCTACTGTAAACTTTGCATGCAAGGGATCTAGGTTGCCATTCATTATGAAAATCCTAGGCCTGATGATCTGAGGTGGAGCTGGGGACATAGCAACACACTTTGCTTATCCCTGTCTCCCATCACCCCCACATGGGACCACCTAGTTTCAGGTAAACAAGCTCAGGGCTTCTACTGATTCTACATCATAGTAAATTGTATACTTATTTCAGTATACAGGGTGTCCATAAAGTTCGTGTCTATATACAACTATTTTTAATTGCACATGAACTTTATGGCCATTTTATTACAATGTAATATTAATAGAAATAAAGTGCACGATAAATGTAATTTGCTTGCATCATCCCCAAACCATCACCTTGCCTCTCATCTATGGAAAAATTGCCTTCCATGAAACTGGTCCCTGATGCCAAAAAGATTGGTGACTGCTGCTCTAAGGAGAGATGAGGGCTTCCTTTAGCTTCCTTTTAAAAGATGATTTAAAGGACCTTTGTTTGATTTAGATATGTGTACACGTATAAACGTAATTGCTGAAATAAGTTCGTATATTTATAATCGCACAATAATCAGATATTTGAAATGTCTTACGGAAATAATGATGGTGAATGCCATCACTATCTGTTATGTATCCAGTAAAGATTAAAGCTGGAAATGTTCGATGTGATTACTCATTTATACAATCATATCCACTTTCCTAACTACTATAAGCAACAAAGGAAATATCCTGCTTAACTGTGGCAAAGGTTAAGAGGAGGGAATAGAAGAAACTATTAATAACAAATTGTTTCTTTTTTATAACCTCAAAACAATCGGAAACTGAACCTCTAGCCAATTATAAATTACATAATTATTTTGCCACTGCTAATGATACCTGTGTGGTGGATTCCATATCAGTCCTCAGTATAGTGTAACCATTGTTTGAAGAGAATTCTGCAAGATAACTGGACAGTTTATACCTTAAGATAGATCCTAGCATTCTATCATCAATGTTTACTCCATTCTCTGCAGTATGAATAAAATTTTCACTGAACTTTGATACTTTCACTGGACATGACACATCATAATGTGTGTAAAAGTAAACATGCAAATTAAAGCTCCCATGAATCACTAAAAGAGATTAGAAGACAGTCAGGGAAATACTTCATGAAGCACACATTCTTCAAATCTCCACGGTACTAAAAATGGCAAACACACCTTTATATGCATTGCCAATAGAGGTAAGATAAATATATAGATATATTCTATCACCAGATTCAATAGATGGCCATTCAGAACCAGTATTATGGAAAAGTCACCAATAGTCTGCATTCAAAGGATATTACATTAGAAATATGTACCTACTTCAATTAAGAGACTGCAATAAAAATCTTAGCCTTTTTTTTTTGGAAACAGGGTTCACCATGAGTAAAAGCCAGAGTCTTTATGATGGCCAAAAGGCCTCCCAAATTGGGCATCCTTTTAACTCCCTAACTTCATTTCCTACTACTTTCTCTCTGGCTCTATCCCAGTCACAATGGCCTCCTGTTATTCCTTAAACACCTAAGCAAGTTCCTGCCTCAGGGGTTTTGCACTTATTGTCCAGCCATGCTCCTCTGTTAGTTATCTGCATGGCCAGCCCCTGCTCTGTCTTTATTCAAAAGTCATTTTCTCTGCAAGTCCTTTTCTGAATAGGTCTTCCAGAGAAGCCTACAAGCTTTCTCTGCAAGACCCTCTCCAACACACTCTGTGTCCCTTCCCTGGTTTATTTTCTACAACCATTAATATACTATATACTTGAGTTATTCGTCTGGGTTTGTTTTTTTTTTTTAATCTTTCTCCCATCTCAAAATGTAAGCTCCAGGAATGCAGGGGTTTTCAATAGATGCCCATTAAATAAGTGAATTAAAAGGACACATTGTTTAATCCAAAGTATGGGAGAACATGCAACTTGTGGGTATCTGCACTTGCTTAGGTGCTTAAGAAACAACAGGGAGGCCAAAGTGACTGGAATAGAGCAAGAGAGAAAGTAATAGGAGATGAGGTTAGGGAGTTAAGAGGATGTCAAATCTGTGGGGACTTGTAGGCCACTATAAGAACTCTGGCTTTTACACTGCTACTAATAATTGACAAATGTAATATGCATCTGAACTGGAAAATACTTTAGGTTCATTTGGTGTTGATAACATTTAAATGCTTTTTTCTGTATGCTTCTCTATATCTAGTGTTTTTGTTTGTGTTTATTTATATTTTAATTTACCTTTTAAAGGTGTAGAGTTATTTTTTACATTTAATTGATGTATACTGCTATAAAAATAATTTTTATTTGAGTGTTTGGTTGATACATTTCTTTTAAGCGTATGCCCCATGGGATAGTGAGGCTGAATTACTAGATCAGGAGAGCCATAAAAAGCATTAGGACTTCATTCTAATTCTCTGAAAGTCTCAAAGGCTGAAAAATGAGTAATTACCTATTTGCTTATTTATAACTTTATTTCTATAAACATTTAATTTTACATTATCGTTGAGAAAGATGATAAAATAGGCTCATTTTAAAATGGCCGCTGCATTATTTGAAAACTGCAAATGCAACTTTTAACACTGGAAAGTCTGTTAAAATAAGAAAGCTTGGGCGGTGCCTGTGGCTCACTGGGTAGGGCGCCAGCCCCATATGCTGAGGGTGGTGGGTTTGAACCTGGCCCTGGCCAAATTGTAACAACAACAACAACAAAAAAGAAAGCTCAAAGCTGCCAACTTTGTATTTTGTTATTTATTCAAAAATACCTCTGATATCAACCCTATACTTTCTTATAGTTCTAGTTTTTTCATAGCTAATAAACAAAAATGGATAAGATATTTTTACTGAAATGATGTTCATATTCACATGCTAGCATAAAAGTAACCTAATGCCTACTGCTACCACATGTAAGGTATCATGCTATGCCCACCCAGAAATAATGGGTCTATTGCTTACTCATGTATGTAGCTGTGTAACACAGTAATTTATCTTTACCTCCTTAAATTTTGCATCTTAAGACCTTTGCTTGCCTTACCCTAGGTCTGGCTTTGCCAAGCTTATTAGTTCTATTTGTTATTTGTGCATTCCCTTACTAAAATTTGGTACATGTTTCAAGGAAATGCAACGTTTTTAAAAAGTTTCAAGGATTCAGACTGTAAAGCTTTCTGTAAAGAGAAACAGTATATAATTATATACACTGTGATTGATTTTGTATATCATTAACAATTTGCCTCCCAAAAGATTCTACTAAAAGCAGAAACTTACCTTCCCATTCTGTTGGAATATCCCCTACTTCATAGTCTACTTCTTTTTTATTTGATGCTTCTACAATTCTTTTCTCTCGAATAGTTTGTCCTATGAGACAAAAGTGATTAATGCATTTTAGATGCAGTAGTTATTACAAGTAATATCTTCTCTTTTGATTTTGTACACACTGTCACATGGTAAAAAATTAAATTAACAAGAGAAAGAATATATTCTATTCAAAATTAGATAATGCTATTAAAGGTAATTTCTACACTACTGAAAAATTTTTAAATTTTCTATCATAGTATGCAAGATTTAATAGCAGAATAAATTTAGATTCAATATACAGAAAAAGAGCAACCAACAAATCCTGTAGGACACTAACGGGTAATAAAAATATTTTAATCATCAACGAAGTGTTCAACTCCTTCAAAATTACATGTGTGTATACGTGTGTGTGCGTGTGTGTGTGTGTGTGTATCCACCAGAGGTACCAATGGCTGCTGCAACTGCCCAAGAAAATCAATACTCTTGGCTCTTACTGAGCATGAAATGGACCTAGCAAGCGACCATTGTCTCTATAATACACTGGCAAACCCAAAGGACCTATAGGTTGTATTCTTTGGCCCATCTGAATCACTACCTCTCAAGGGAATGTAAAGGAAAAATGACAAATGGGGTGAGCTTCAGGTCTGGTGCTTCCAGTGAAAGATTATCATCTGGAGTGGGATGGTAGTAGTGTAGAAACATGAAAGCAGAGAGAACAATAAAGAAAGTGATGAACAGGCTTGGCGCCTGTGGCTCAAGTGGCTAAGGCGCCAGCCACATACACCTAAGGTGGCGGTTTGGGTCCCCAGCCCAGGCCCGCCAAACAACGATGGCTGCAATCAAAAAATGGCCAGGCGTTGTGGCGGGCGCCTGTGGTCCCAGCTACTTGGGAGGCTGAGGCAGGAGACTCGCTTGAGCCCAGGAGTTGGAGGTTGCTGTGAGCGTGATGCCATGGCCCTCTACCCAGGGGGATAGCTTGAGGCTCCGTCTCAAAAAAAAAAAAAAAAAAAAAAGTGATGAACAGAGGTCAAGAATAAGAGTTGGTTAATGCATATTTTAAGTTTATAAAAGAGGCATGAAACAATTTGTTATTTCCTTCTGCTTTCATAAAGTTTTAATTATATCCTTCAAAACACTTTTGTCAAATGGTGACTTCAAACACATATCTTTTTAAATGAAACTTTAGGCTGGGGAGACCAGGGAGGCTCTCTACTTCCCCAGTAGTCTACAAGTGCGTCTCTTTCTCCTCTAGGGAACGTGAACCGAGATAGAGAAACCACTGAGGAACAAGGGAAGCAACAAGGCTTAACAGTGATGGGACCAGTTGGGGTGAAATCGGGGCCTTACAAAATACTCCTTCCTCTTAGTATTCCTAGCTTAATCATATGTTATGCAAAGTAGGTTATATAATTTAAAAAACTGACCCTGTTGGCTGCACTCTCCTATACTAAAATTCTACTAAATGACAATTGTATCAAATGAGAAAACAAAACTCTTGACGGTGACTATACAAGATAAAGAACACAAAAGTGTAGCCTTAGAGGACTGAATGGCTAGTTTTATTTCCTCTGCCTTAGCATTATTACATGAAGGGCTGGCAGTCCACAGCCGAGCCACCAATGCTAACAACCCTCAAGTATGCAGTCAAGGAAGCTCTGCATTCCATTATGAACTCACTCAGGCTAATTCAACCCTAACAGAGAAGCTCCCCAAATTCCACAAAGAGGAGTTACCCTTTGGTTTTGTAGGGATAAAGATTAGGGTAAAAGGAGCATATAACAATGACAGCTGCATTTCTCTGGCAAAAGAGGCTCAATATATGTACACATAGTTTTACTAAAATTCTATTTATTCACATTCATAAATGCACACAAGTCACTACAAATTTAGTATATATTGAAGTGTGTTTATATGGCAATTTTTAAAGTGTTTATGTCAAAATACCTATGTCTTCATATAGTTCTTATCTAACATCCAAGATTAAGTATGTCCCTTTAGCAATAACAGTTATAAAGAGGAAAACTATTTTCTAAAACACAAAATGCGAATACTTGGGATTTTCAAAGTACATGTGTGGTCTACAAGTTTCTTTCTTTTTTTTTTTTTGCATTCTTAGACTTATGTTTTATTTTATTTTATTTTATTTTTAATTGAATGGTAACTATGTACATTAATGCACTTCTGGGGTACAGTGTGGGGTTTTCACACCCAATCCGAAATACTAACTGGTCAGCACAGCCTTCATGTCATTTTCTCAGTTATTGTTTTAAAAGTTCACATTCTACTCTTAGAAAGATTCACTTGTACCCCTTACAAGTTTCTAAATGTATATTAATAAAGTTTACCACACGGGAGAGCATAGAGATGTCTAGCCCAGCAGTACCAATAAATGTATACATATGTTAAAGGTGTATCTATGGATCAGTGACACAAAAATTAACTTTTTAATCCTATTCTGGGGTGGGTCCCGTAGCTCAGTGGGTAGGGTGCTGGCCACATACACTGAGGCTGATAGGTATGAACCCCACCTGGGCCAGCTAAAACAACTGCAACAAAAGAAAAATAGCTGAGCATTGTGGCAGGCGCCTGTAGTCCCAGCTACCTGGGAGGCTAAGGCAAAAGAATCACTTAAGCTCAAGAGCTGGAGGTTGCTGTGAGCTGTGATGCCACAGCACTCCACCCAAGGTGACAGCTTGAGACTCTGTCTCAAAGAAAAAAAAAAAGCCTACTTTGGAGTCTATCAATTTAATTTAAGGTCTCCCAAGAATTTAAAAAATCAAAAGTCATACCTATTTGTGTGTATATAGAAAAATGGGATAAGTAATTAATAAAGTAGTTTAATTCCTTGATGACTGCTGAACAAACCTTTGTTTATAATAGGTAACAAATTAAATTCATTCATTCATGTATGCATGCATTATTTATTTGACTGAGTCTCACTCTGTTTCCCAGGCGAGTGCCATTGTACCAACCCAGCTTACAACAACTTCAAATTCCTGGGTTCAAGTGATCCTTCTACCTCAGCCTCCCAAGTATGTGGGACTACACGTGGCCACCCTAATGCCTAGCTAATTTTTTTATTTTTAGTAGAGATGAGACCTCGCTCTTGCTCAGGCTGATCTCAAACTCCTGACCTTAAGCCATCCTCCTGCTTCAGTCTCCCAGAGTGCAGGCGTGAGCTAAGTCCCTGGTGTGAGCCAACTCCCTGGCCCAAAATGCACTTTTAAAAGTATACATCTATAAAAATGTAAACTAAAAGTATTAGCGTACTGAATAAATTCTTTGTGACTAGATATAAGTTTTTCCAACAAAATAAACTGCCTCAAAACTACTCTATTCTGAATTCTGGGAAGATGGCCGACTGGTAGCAACCCTGGTCAGAGGCTCCTGAACAAAGGAAGAAAAACTGGTTGGAATCAGAATCTATGAAGTCAAAGACGGGGAGCTGAGCCCAGAAAGAAGTTCGGCAAGCTATAAATCCAAGGAAGATCATTT